GTGTCGCGCGCTCCGTCTCCCAGAGGCTGCGCCCTCGCCTAAGCGCCCCCTCCTGCGCCGCCGCAGCTCCGAGGCTCTCAAGGGGCCGAGGTGATCTCCTCAGGCAGGACCCACGCGGGGCTCGCGCCACTCCTCCCGCTCCGCCCTCGGCTCCTCCCCTCCCTGCAGAAAGCCTGGGACGTGCAGGGCACGGATCCTGAATGCTGAGGCTGGCCATCAGCACACCTGGCAGCAGAGGTAATGACTTCCAGTCCCTTGTGTGCTCAGAGGCTTCGCCTCAGGTCAACACCAGCAGCACCTGGGAACTTGGTAAAAACGCAGCCCCGCAGGTTTCTCCTCAGACCTATTGCATAAAAAGTCAAAAATATACAGCAAGAGCCCTAGGTTAGAAGCATCCAAAATAAAGTTTGTGAAACCTCTGAACTAAGCTAAAGTACCACAGAATACACAGCTGGGAGTCCTCTTTCAAGCTTGGTCACAGTGGCGTTCTCACTCAAAATGCCTCACTCAGTACCAAAGGCAGCAACAGTGTGTGACCCGTAGTGTGTACCATGCTCAGTGTTTTTAAAAGGAGAATGAATACTCCTTTCTCGTCTTCTACAGTATTATTTTGCTTGGCATGCACAAGAATAAAACCCGAAAGAATCACGCTAGATTTGGGTAAGGGAGTGGAAACTCCCTCACCTCCATCTACCGCTGCTCTCTCTCTCTCTCTCTCTCTCTCTCTCTCTCTCTCTCTCTCTCTCTCTCTCTCTCTCTCTGTGCTTCCCTCTCCCTCGTGAAATTAGAAAGAGGCCAATAAACAAAGATCATTAGCTACATGGATAAAGCTTAGAAAGAGGCCAATAAACAAAGATTATTAGCTACATGGATAAAGCTTAGGTAAGAATCTAATTTGTCCGTAGTTTACTGTTCACCCCTTCTCTCCCTCTTTGGTTCCCTCCTGTTTATCCTCCACAGGCATTACTCCCAGTCTGGTCTCCTGTGTGCTTTGAAACTTCATAATAGAGTAACTGCACATGTTCTTGACCTCTTGAGGCTTGTAGTTGAGTGGGAAAGACAGCAAATAAACGCAAGCTATTTGTCTTTCTTCTGTTCAGCTCCTTTTAACTAGTTCTTCTTTCCACCAAGTATTGACTACTGAAGGCTAAAGAGGCCACCTCTCTCAAGGCTATTTGTGTTTTTGTAGGGGCTGTAAAGACACGAGCACAATTTACTCATAAGAAAGTTTCTAAAACTATGTGCAGAAAGCAACTGCTTCATTTTAAAGACCAGTTTTGTCTGGAAGCATGTTTACCTCGAAAGGGCCAATGGTTGCTGTGTATGAAATAAATCATAATGATCCATTTTCAGTATGGGGTGTGTTTACAGCTCAGCAGAGACTCACGGGATAGCACGAGGCACTAGGCCAGTCTATCTTAGCTGGCAGCTGGTGCCTGCTTTTTTTTCTAGGTGCTCTCAGTCCTTCCTGAGGTTGAAAAGTTACAGGCATTCTGCTACATGTCCCAGCCTATACACCAGAGAAGAGGCGAATCAGTACTGAAAGAGTTGGGTTAGCAGTTAACAGCACTTTCTGCGCATGAAAGTTTCCAGTTCAGTTCTCAGCACCGACATGGTGACTCACAACTGTCTTACTCCAGTTCCAGGCCATCCAACACCCTCTTCTGGCCTTTGGGAGTACCGGATACACACAGTGCACATATGTACATTCAGACAAACATTCATACACACAAATAAAAATAATATAATTCTTTTAAGCAAAAAGAAAGAAAATCATAAAATCTTAAAGCCTTGGTATATTAGATAAGGTTTTGCATCTTGAACCCATAGGATGGAGAATTTGGGACAGGAACAATACTGACATCAGGAAGACTGTACCTCCCTGAGGATCCCAGCCAATGAGAAATTTGGGGGAGGGGGAGTTAATTTGACTAGGAAAACTGTTTTTTACACCAAATTGGTGACTTTGCAAGATCATAAAATAAAGTGCTTCATTTTTGCTACTCTGAGTCTTCAGTGTGCTTATTATAAAGAAAAGATCATTATTTCTCACAATTTGAGGGCAGTCAAGGAATTTCTGTATTTGGTAAGAGAACACCTGTGTCTCTAAAGAGTGGGAGAGACATCCTGCCCTACCTTTGGGTGTTCTGCACTGGTCTCTTCCCAACACTTTAGATAAGAACAAAGAGCTGCGAAAACTGTGCTTTAGATCACAGAAGATGTGTATCCCCCTTGCTCTAACTAGAATAAAGAGGAGGACAGACACCCAGAGTTGGCAAAGTCATTTCTTTTTCCTCCACTTCCATTCCCAATTCTATCAAGGGTTCCCGATGGGACCCAGTTTATACATATAAGAACCCTTGACTTCCCTTCTTCTTTTCCAGGGTTTTTAGTGCCCTCCTCTCTATTATAGCTTGAACAATGGTAATAAGTGTCTTCTGGCATCTAAAACTGCAATTACAGGATTAACGTGAGAATTTCTGGCTCTTGCATAATTTCTTTTCTGTTTGCCTTTTCCTATTTACAAAGAGTTCATCACTTCTCAAGGTCATTGATGTCTCCAAGGACTCTTACAATAAAGGAAACTTTCTCTAACTCCCAGGCTATATTAGACCAAAAGGGGGAAATAAAAAAATTCAAGTTGAAAGAAAATTTGCCTGAGACTTTTTTTCTTCTCTTTTCTTTTTTTGCTTGTTTTTGTTTGTTTGTTTGTTTGTTTTTGTTTTTCGAGACAGGGTTTCTCTGTGTAGCTTTGGAGCCTATCCTTGGCACTCGCTCTGGAGACCAGGCTGGCCTCAAACTCACAGAGATCCTCCTGCCTCTACCTCCTGAGTGCTGGGATTAAATGCATGCACCACCAATGCCCAGCTTGCCTGAGACTTTTAACAGGAAAAAGGAGACTTGATTCCTTCTGCTCCTACTCCTACTTGAGATAGAGTCTCTCTGTGTAGCCCTAGCTGTCCTGGAAGTTGCTACATAGACCAGGCTGGCCTCAAACTCACAAAGATCCACCTGCCTCTGCCTTCCCAGTTCTGCAATTAAAGGCATGTGCCACAACTCTGGTAAATGACTTATTTTTAAAGGTTGTGTTAAATATTAATTTTCTACAGTGTACCGTATGCAATTTGGATTCAACTCTTGTTAAAGGAAATGAAATAAGAAACAATAAGTAGAGAGAAAGAAAATTATTGTAAATGATGCAAATATGAGGTTATATTTTGGTTAAATTTGATAAAGAGAAAAGAGAATATTATATATAGGTATGTATTTTGTATGATTGAATGATATTTTGTCCAAGGACTGAAAAATAATAGGTGAGGACAAAATCAAGAAAGCTTAAAGCCCAGATGGAATCAGATGTAGAGACTGACAGCCAGACATGTGAAAAGAGAATGTAAATTGGATATCTCTATCACATCTCTCCCCTCAGAGTTCAGGGAACCCCAGAGAAGAGGAGGCAGAAAAGTATAAGAGCCAGAGGAGATGGAGGACAGCAGGAAAACAAGGCCTTCTAAGTCAACTAACCAAGGCATATATACCTTCACAGAGATTGAAAGAGCAAGGAATTTACATCAGCTCCTCTGTGTATATATTATAGCCATTAGCTTAGTATTTTATGGGACTGTAAGAACAAGTGGGTCTCTGAGTCTTTTGCCTGCTCTTGGGACTCTTCTTCTCCTGTTGGTTGCTGTATTCAACTTCAATATGATGGCTTTTGTTGTATCCTATTATATTTTATTTTGTCATGTTTGTTTGTTACTCTTAGAAGCCTGTTCTTTTCTAATGAGAGACAGAAAGAGAGTGAGTCTGGGTGGGAGAGGAGTTGGGGAGGAACTGAGAGTAGTAGAGGGAGAGGAAACTTGTTTTGTTTTGTTTTGTTTTGTTTTTTGTTTTAGTTTTTGGAGACAGGGTTTCTCTGTATTGCCTTTTGGAGGCTGTCCTGGAGCTCACTCTGTAGACCAGGCTGGTCTCAAACTCATAGAGATCTGCCTTTCTCTGCCTCTCAAGTGCTGGGACTAAAGGCATGTGCCACCAATGCCCGGCGAGGGAGAGGAAACTGTAATACAGATATATTGTATGAGAAAAGAAGCTATTTTCAATAAAAAGGGAGGATAGAAAAACAACCTTAAAGCAAAGTTGCATAAATCCTGAATGACTTACTACACCCAAGTCAAAGAACCAATCAAGGAGACACTAACATCCAAATGAGATCAATGAGGAACATATGGGTTATCTAAGAGCCTTTAAAAATAATTCTACAAAGAACCTAATGATACCTTATTCCCTAATGGACAGTGTTGGTGGTTTTGCTGTGTTTGGGCTTTTGCTAAGTATGTCACTTATAATTTGTTTGTGTAAAGCAGAGAATCCTCTAAAAGCATACTTTAGCCCAATTTTTTAAAAGCTGTTAAACCAACCCAGTCCTTAGAGTTCTGTGTTTCCTTAAGGGAATCCCTGATTGACCCTATTTCTTGGAGTCTAATGTATTCTTGCCGTACAGGAAATAGAAACTTTTCAAACCTGATGGAAGGATGTCCAGATAGTTGTTCCATATGCTTTGCCTAATTAGCTTAATAATTAGTGAAACTAAAACCTCATCACCCCTTACTATGAAATTTGATGCCTGCAAAGTTTTACATTATAGGAATCTCAAAATCCAAGAACAACAACAAAAAAAGAAGATAATCAAGGACAAGGACATTAAGACAGACCTTATAAAGTAGAAACTGGATATGGAGGATTGAATACTTGTGTGGAATGGGTTAAATTTATGGCACAAGCGCTCAATGAGAGTGATTGTTATGCTTGTGTAGCAGGATGTACCAAGGCTCAAGTAATAGTCTTTCCCCTTGAATGGTACACAGACTCTACCAGAGTAAAATGCATGCTTTTTGTGTTTCAGGATATAAAGTCCTGAAGAAATGACACTTGTCAGAGTCTGTCCCTCCTGTAGTTGGCCCACCTGAATTCCTCCTTTCTTCATAGGGTGAATTGCTCTTTGTCTCTCTCAGGACAGCAAGATAGATTCTCTCACCCACTGAGGAATCATGGAGCCTGTACCTATGTCCCGGATGCCTCAAATGACAAATGGGTAAACAGCAATTACTTTGCACCCAGTGTCTACCAAGCTGATATATGGTGATGCTGAAGACAGGGGACACTTTACTCAAGACTACCACCCAGTTGGTACGGGACCTGCATGCTGTTTCAGTTAGC